GAATCAGGGCTGAAATCTCAGAGTCTCCACATACATCTCAGAAGGGATTTCAGCCTTTACAAGCTGTAATGAGGACAATAATGTCACCTTATTAAGCATTGACAGGAGAGTCTGTATCATCACAGGCGACTAACAACGTCCAATAATCACTTGTAAAGATATTGGACTCCATTCCCGATTAGCTACATGCACATGTAAGCCATTCTAATGTCCCTCATCAAGATAGCATTTCACACCCACGAGGGTGAATACAACAGGAAGAAGACAAACAGAAACAAGAGTCGGTGAATATTCTGAGAGCTTGGAACCCAAAAACCTTGCTGGTAAATTGTGCACATGCTTTGGAATAAGTAGAGTTGAAATAGTAGACGTTCTTCTAAGGGCTGCCTATGTTTTCCCTGTATCATTAGTGATTAGGCTCTTTGGTCTGTATCTACATAAATTTTAAAACATAACTCCATAAAAACTTGTCCATAAATAGTTGCATTATCCATTATTATTCAGAACAGCCTATTTTAGTTTTGTTTTGTTTGCTGTGAGAAAGGTCCCTCACAAAAGAAACTTTTGTTTAAACTTACAATTCCGAAAGGATAGAATCCGTCGCGGTAACGATGGCATGGTAGCAGAAGCCTGAGTTCCATCTGGAAGTCAGGAGAACAAGAAATGTGGCCAGGCTGGGAAACCTCAAACATCTGAGCCATTGGGGGACATTTCACATTCAAACCACAACACAACCTCAGTTGCAAATAACCGAACAATTAGCAGTTAGTTCTTTTTTTTAATTTATTTATTTATTTATTAATTAAAGATTTCTGTCTCTTCCCCACCACCGCCTCCCCATTCCCTCCCCCTCCCCCAATCCAATCCCCCTCCCTCATCAGCCCAAAGAGCAATCAGGGTTCCCTGCCCTGTGGGAAGTCCAAGGACCACCCACCTCCATCCAGGTCTAGTAAGGTGAGCATCCACGAAACTGCCTAGGCTCCCATGAAACCAATAGGTACAGTAGGATCAAAAACCCATTTTCATTGTTCTTGAGGTCTCAGTAGTCCTTAGCAGTTAGTTCTTGTCTTTGTCACCCAGTCTCCTCACATGAGAGGAGATACGATAGATGTGTTTGCTACCATATCTGGCTTTCCGTGGGCACTGAGGATTCAAAAAAAGGTACCCATGCTTGTGTGGCAAGCACTTTATCTACCGAGCCATCTTCTCCCCCTTTAGATGGCTTTCTATTTGTTTGACAGGCCCCAGTGTATGTATTCATACACGATTCAGTACTTTCGTGCTCACTAAGAATCCAGAGTTCTATTTGCTAGTGTCTGCATTTCTCTGTAATGAAGCTCATTTCCTTGCATGGGTTATGAACTTCATTTCAGCTATTATTCCTTCATCCTCCACATATTCGAATCTCGTTCCTCATTCTGCATTTCTTCTTGTTACATCTGTGTTTCCCGCTCTCTCTCAGAACTATGGTTTCCAGTTCACCAGGAGCACAGGGTGGACGAGTACTTACTGCTCACGTGAACTCCATTTCTCAGCAATGGCAAAAAGAAAAAGGCTTTTGACCATTGGAAGCAACACTGCTAGGTGTCAGAATCTGGGAGCCCTTAAGAGACCAAGAGAATACAGAGCACATTGTAGATAAAAGTGTACAACATCAAGTAGCCAGCAACGGAGAAATGTTATAAATGGTGGCGCTTCTTGTTCTGCTTAAGAAAACAGTGTGTGTGTGTGTGTGTGTGTGTGTGTGTGTTGTGTATACATATGTACATCAGGTACTCTGGTGAAGAATGCATGTCCCAAAGAAATTATTCAAGGGGAGAAAATGTAACCTACCTGCCCATTCCTGGAAGAAGAAATGTATGAATGTGCTGTCATAGATACCACAGGCAGCATTTAAAGTCAACTGATATATAAATAGCAACATGAGTGGATTTTAAAATCATACTGCTAGGAGAAAAAAGGTGTGTGTGCATGTGTGTGTGTGTGTGTGTGTGCATGCATGTGCGTGTATGATCTATGTGAATTACAGATATAATAAAATGCCACAGACCTTTGTAGGGACACTTGCATATAAAATATGTATCTTTTGCGTCATGGATCACTTGTTTATGAAGACAGGGAAATGGGAGCAAGTTACGGGGTTCAAAAGAGAAGGAAGGAGGGAAGAGGCTTGGTTTAGGTTTCAAGTGTTCTTCAGGGGTCCACAAGCTAATGACTTGGTTCCAATCTGTAGTGATTGTGAGGTGGTGACTCTCTGGTTGTTGTTCTCTCTCTTCCTCTCCCCTCCCTCTCTCCCCCTCCTTTTTTCTCCCCTCCCTCTCGCTCCCCTTCCCTCTTTCCCCCTCTTCATGGTCTCTTCCCTCAGTTTCTTTACTCCCTCCCTCCCTTCCCCTCCCTCTCTCTCCCTACCCTCCCTCTCCTTCCTTTCTCTCCCTCTCCTTTCTCCCCTTCCCTCTTCCTTTCTACATTCATCTCTCCCCTGCCTCCCTCTCTCTCCATATTTTTCTCTCCCCCTGCCTCCCCCTTTCCTCTCCCTTTCTCTTCTTCCCTTCCCCTTTCTTCTTCTCTCCCCCTTTTCTTCTTCCTTTTTCTTCATCCCCCCCTCATTTCCTCTCTCCCTTTCCTCTTCCTCTCCACATTTCTCTCTCCTCTTCCTCACCCCGGTCCCCTTCTTTCTCTCCTCCTCCCTCTCCATCCCCTCCTAGTCTCTCTCCCCCTCTCCCCTTCTCTGGCTTCTATGAAGTAAGCAGCTTTGCTCTGCCCTGATCTCATCATCATGGTGCTGATTTGTCAAAACCCCAAAAGAACTAGATCCAGCCAAGCGTGAACCGCAGTCTCTGAAAGTGGGAGCCCAAATAAACTTTTCTCTTTTTAGAAGCTGTTTTCCTCAGGCATTTGGTTACAGAAACAGAAAGATAACCAACACAAAAGGTTTTCAGAGACTCAGTAGAATATGGAAAGGCAATTGATCTAAAATTCATAAAATTTAAGTATAATACGTCAAAGAGAAAAGCTGTGGGGAAAAAGAATAAAATATTGCAGAAAACAGACTTTCTAGTAAAGATTTCCGTGGACATCAAGTAGTCTCACTTATATAAAGGTATATCTAATAGTCTATATTATACACTATAGATAAATTCTGCATCATTTAACAATAGCTGGTTAGACAGATGTTTGATGTTAGAGCTAGTCTAGTATGCCCCACTGATGATGAATTGGCTTGTCTATCTTTTTGTTACAAAACGGCTTTGAGTCAGCATTACTTCACCTCATCAACATTAGGTGTAGAGTCCATGCTAGAAAATTTGTGCCCATACATTAGATTCCTTGGTCTTAGAAGAACCTTTTAACTCCGGCTGACCAGATTCAATCCTGGATTAATTTACAACAGTGAAATCAATTCATGCTTCACTTCTCACATATAAAGAAAAACATATTCATTGCTGTTTTTTATTATTAAAATGGAGGAGAGGAATTACTGAGGCAGACAATTAAATTCCATTTCAGAGATGTCTCCTGAACTAAATGAAGTTCTCATTCATCGTTGAACTTTCCTCCTTGACTGAGGCCATGATACTTCTAGGAAAAGGTTCGTTTTCTTCTATGAACCTGTGGGAAGGCAGATGGCAGGAAATCGCTCATTAATGTCATCTAATTTAAAGAATTATACAATTTCAGCAGCACTTTATTGAGATCAAATAGGGAATAGTCTTATCACTGAGACTCTTAATAAGATCATGAACTGCCTTTTTGTTTCTTCTTTTGTGTTGGCCCTGGAATCCAGAACCTTAAACATTGTAGAAATGGATTCACCTGAGATGTACTTCCCAGACCAAATCATGTCTTTTTTTTAAAAAAAAAATCTCAGTTTTAATTTTCCTCCCCTTTTCCTCCTGTTATTTATTTCCCTTCCTCCCTTTTGCCTCTCCTATATATTCTGCTTCACTCCATTTATATTTTATTATTATGAGTAAAAAACTATTTCAATTTATGCTTTTTCTCTCATCCCTTTGTTCAGAGAATTCTGTGTTCTCCTTTTAAGTAGAGTCACATATGCCTTTAAAAAATTTATATATGTGTATGGGTGTTTTGCTTGAATGCATACCCATGCACCATGCATGTTTCTGGTACCCACAGAAGCCAGAGCAGAGTTGTTGGATTCCCTGTGGCTGGAATTACGAATGGTTGTAAGTCAACACGTGGGTTCTAAGAATCAAACCTTGGTCCATTGCAAGAGCAACACGTGCTCTTCACTATTGAGCCTTCTCTCTAGTTCCAGCCATATATTTTTAAAGTTTATTAAGTGTTATTCTTTTTTGATGAATTTCAATTCCATATCTCATTACATTAGCAAAGGAAAATTTATTGAAACACAAATAGATATCAAGATACAAGTACCCTGAAAAGTAGTTTCTGAGGCAAGATAAAGTGGAAAATCCTAGAAGAATTCTTCTGATAATGCCTTCTCCCTTTTTAATTTTCACACATTAATTTCAAGCAGAGATTACTTAAGGAATTCCATTTACAGATTTAGATGGTCCACTGAACAAGGCATAGTTATGGACTAAGAATCAAGTGGTGGCGCTGGTGATAGTTTTTGTGCAGCTGGGTAGTGGGACTACGGTTGGCTAATCAAGCAGAGCTGAAAATAAAAGCCAGCACCAGAGTCTCTGTCACTGCACTCTACCCCAGGTTACCCACCGGATTTCTTTTTATGTGCTTCTTCTGGTGATCAGAGTCTCACTAATGCTATGTAAGTCCTCTACTGCCGAGCTACATTATCAGCCCTGCTCTCTTCATGTAGAGTAATTTATTTAGCTTCAGTGATAGAAAGAGCTGTTTAGTGCCATATAGTTTTACAAAAATGTATTCACCTACCACTAGCCACAGATTAGAGATGACATTACTGATGCTCAATTCTTTCTAAGTAATTTGAACAGGATATATCACAGAAGCTAGTAGCTTCTGTTCACCGAAGGAGAAATGATAGACTCACCATTTTAATCTTCTGTTTGTCTTGCTTTGTAGGTCCACTCAGTTACTATGCATGCCATAAACATCTCCAAGACAGTGAACAGGAAGAGATACTCTGTAAGCATCCTACCACTTCTCTACACCCCAAAAGAAAAATACAATCTTTACTTAGTAATTTATTTTTGAGAATTTTATATAGGTATCCAGTGAAATACAATATTATCTACTCCCATTTTTTATTCCAACTCTTGGTTCAACCCCCAGTTTCCTCTCCCAATTTCATGTCTTTTTTTATAGCCCATATATGCATACGTGTGGAGCCATCTAGTGGACTAGTGGCCATATCCTTACAGAAGTATGATTCTTCCCACAGCAATTATCTGCTTCCAAAAGCTCCTTAGAAAGAGCTGGGGTCTGGTTTCATTTCCCATGTCTATGACAGAATTTTAGCTGGCTTGATTTTGTAGAGATTTTGTGCAGGTAAGCACAGATTTTGTTCTGTGAGTTCTCTATAATGATAGCAATATCATTCCCAGAAGATGGCATTGCAGCATTCCCAGCCATCCTTCTGCATTGTTTCTTGTGCCTCAGTGCTGATGAGATGTCAAACCTAATAGCTATGGAACCTCTCATTTAAACACTAAATATACATTCTTTTTCTAAGCAGCCTATAGAACTTTATCCAAAATCTATCACATATTAAGACACAAAACAAGTTTCAACAAACATAAGAAAATTGAAATTATATTCTGAGTTCTCTCTGACCACAAAGGGATAAAACTAGATATCAACAGAAGAAAAAAAAAAACTACAGGAAGAGCTACGCCTTTAATCCCAACACTCGGGAGGTAGAGGTTGATGAATCTCTGTCAGTTTGAATCCAGCCTGGTCTACAGAGCAAGTTCCAGGCCAGGCTCCAAAGCTATGCAGCTAGCCTATTTTGAAAAACCCTATCAAAACTAAACCAAAACCAAAACCAAAAACTCAAAAAAAAAAGTATAAGAAGTATATCAACTCATGGAACTTAAACTGCATATTGTTGAATAATTGTGTTACTGAAGAGACCAAGAATGAAGTAAAAAAAAATTCCTAGAACTGACTGAAAATAAAAATATGATGGATGAAAATCAATTGGCCATTCTGATGACAACCTGAAAGGAAAGTTTACAGCACTTGGTGCCTACATCTAAAAGTCATTTCAAGTTAACAATTTAATAATTCACCTTGAAGCCTTGGAAGAAGCAAGAACACATCAAATTCCAAAACAGTAGGTAGGAATAACCAAAATCAGGAAATAAGGAAATAAAATTAAAGAAACAAAAACCAATAAAAGAATCAATATAATGAAGAGTTGGTTCTTTAAAATAAAACGATTGATAAACTCTTAGCTGAATTAAGCAAAGGAAAGATAGAGAATTGATGGAGGAGGGTCATCTGTCTATGTGTTACTTTCATTTGTTAATAAAGAAACTGCCTTGGCCTTTGCTAGGACAGAAAATTAGATAGGCAGAATAAATAGAACAGAATGCTGGGAGGAAGAAGGCAGTAAGGCATAGCATTCCTCTCCGAGATGGACTCAGGTTAAGATCTTTCCCGGTGGTGCTACACAGATTACTAAATATGGGTTAAAGCAAGATGTGAGAATTAGCCTTATTAAGAGGCTGGAACTAATGGGCCAACCAGTGTTTAAATAAATACAGTTTGTATGTTGTTATTTCTGGGGCTAAGCTAGACATGTGGGAACTGGGCAGGATGAGAAGCAGTCCTGTCCACAGCTCCTACAACATAGATTATGTAATAAATCAGAAATGAAAAGAGAGACATTATAACACCTTCCAACAAAATTTGGAATCCAGAAAGACATTCTGTAAGAACCTATATTTCACAAGCTTGCAAGACCTAAAGTAATGGAGGAATGTCTAGATGCATTCAACATATCAAAATTAACCGTAATAAATGAAAGAGTTGAAACATATCCAGAAATGAGACTAAAAGGCAATAAAATATCTCCTAAGAAACACCCATGTATTAACCATAGAATTCTCCCAGAACTTGAAAGAAGAATTAACAACAGAACTCAATAGTAATTTCATGAAATAGCAAAGGAGGAAGGTTCCCATGCTTGTCAGCTTTTATGGTCAGCTAGATACAACCTCCAGATATTTGGTAAGGGAGGTCATGTCTGTGAGGAATTGTTTTGGTTGATGACTGAGGTGGTAGGGTCCAAACCACTGTGGATCTCATCATCCCCAGGCAGGGGAGTGTAGGTTGAATAAGAAAGCTAACACGGAGCAAGACAGAGAGTCCGAGAGTGAATCGGTAAGCAATGTTCCCCAACAGTTTCTACAGTGTCAGTTCCTGCTTGAGCTTCTTCCCTGACTGCTCTCAGTGATGGACTGTGACCTGAAAGTGTGGGCTGAAATCAACTTTGTTCTCTCATAAGTTGATTTTGTCTAGTGTCTTATTACAGCAGCAGAAAACGAACTAGAATGCTTTCTAAACTTTACTTTTTAATGCTAAAACTCACAGAGGTATAGCTATGTTGTAGGAAGGAAAAAAAATGAAAAGATAAGCAGTTTCCTGTATCCTATTCCCTCAATAGTTGAAAATTCATGCATATTTGATTATATGATAGCTATTGAGAATGGTGAATTGATACGTTTCTGCCAAGAGAATAATGGGAATCATTGTATATTCTTTTTGTTGTTGTGGGTAGAACAAGTATATTTTCTTAAGTGATAATGTACCTCTGGAGAAGATAAAATTGAGATACATTTTCTTCGGAGGTTTGGTTAATAGGACTTCTTTAAAAAGAAAGTATATACAATTACACTTTTCTGTATCATCTAGTAAATTATGCTAAAGAAATGTAATTCCTACATGAATAAAGTGATCCTCTCGTGTGTCACTGACTTGATTTTTGTTAAGACTCTATTTACTGTGGTGAAGTGACTTGGATTTAGCTTGATCAGCATAAATGCTCTTCAGGTGACTAGACCCATGACCTTAATCAAATAGCCAAACATTTAGTCTTTATTGAATCAGAGATACATAGGCTTTTATCTATATCTGTATTTATTTATTGTAAAGTTTTCTCAATAATACATAGAAATAAGAAAAATGGAATGATGAATTACAAACATATATATAGTTTGGAACTAGTCTATTAACCATAACTCTTGTATGTTGAAGTAAGGAGTGCTTTCTTAATAAGGTTAGGAAGCTAGATATAAGTAACACCTAATGGTATCAATTTAAAGTTATGGTTTCTAGGTATTGGTTTAAAGCCCAGCTGTTTTGGCTCCTTTTGTTAAGCTCTGGGCATAGACTAGAAGGATAGTAGTCCACAGACAAGAATTCAACACCATGGCTTCAAATTCTTAGAAAATTTGCTCAGAATCTCTTCCTTCTTTCTCTGTCTTCATCATCCTTTCTCTTCACACCAACAAACCTAAATGGCTAAGTGTGCCTATGTTCATAGTGCCACCTGCACAGGACCACAGATCCACAAACATAAACAGCCTTAAATAGTTCTGCATGAACCCTCTAGCAGACAGATGCAGAAACACACTATGTCCTCCTGGCATAGTGCACATAGAGCAGAGTATATGAGCCTTCCGAATTACATCCATTGTCGAGATAAGCTTCAGTCTGTAGACTGCAGCACTTTCTTATTTTTAAAATTATTTTATACCCTGACCACATTTCCACTCTCTCCTATATTACTATTCTTTTCACCAAATCCCTGTACCCCTCAATCTACCCCTCTTCTGTTTTTGTTCAGAAAGGGACAGGCCTCCCATGGCATATCAAGTTGCTGTAATGCAAGGCATCTCCACTTGTATTTAGGTTGGGCAAGGCAATCCCGGATGAGGAATAGGTTTCCAAGAGCCAGCAAAAGCATTAGATATAGCTCTTGCTCCCATTGTTAGGAATACCATAAATAGACCAAGCTATACAACTGTCATATATATGTAGAGGGCATAAGTTTGTCCATACACACTCCCTGTTTGTTGGTTTAGATTCTGTGTATTCCTATGAGACTGGTTAGTTGTTTCTGTGGGTTTTCTTGTGATGTCTATGATTCTCTGGATCCTATAATCCTCCCTCCCTCTCTTCAGCAGGATTTCCCAAACTTGGTCTAATGCTTGGTTGTGGATCTTTGAATCAGTTTCCATCAGTTCCTGGATGAAGGCTCTCAACTACAGCACGTTCATTGACCATGAACATAGGGCTAATATAAGTCCATATGGATGTCATTTCGTTCTTAAAAGAAGAAAGTCTTACTATAGCAAATTTGATCTTTTAAATCCTTGGGAAAAGTTGTCTTAAGGTACATAGAAAACAAGTTGCCACTCATAAATGTCTCATAGCAACCAGGAGGAATCAGGATTGACTATAATGCTTCATCTATAAAATATCTGTATTAATATTTGTCAGATTTTATTTGATTGTGTAGGCTCTGAACTGTAACATGTAGCTTATATCACACTAATAATAGGCACATATGCCTGAGAGTAAACTTATGAGCGGACTTCTGGTGATTTGACTGATATTTGACTATTTTGATCCTCACTGAAGGCTTAATTCTAAAATTATGAAGACATTCTCTTAGAAACCCAGTACTTACATATTGCCACAATGAAGATTGTATATTTGAAGTCATCATCAGTTCAAGTATTATTAAAAACATACCTATTAGTGTTGCAAAGATGCTTAAGATGTTCATTGTCATAGTCCAAATCAGCTAGAACAGATTAAAAAAGTATTGTCCAGTTATTGGAAGCTATTCCATAGTCCTCTCTGCAAGTGTGTTCTTATAGAACTATAGAAATTCTAATCTTTCTGGCATCGTGAGAGCACCAAAAAGGTTGTTAGAACTGCAGATTGGTTAGGCTCCTAGTAGGACCAAACAATTTGGGGGATAATAAAACTTTGGATATGATGTGCAGTTATTTATTTCTCTACTGGTAATGGACTCAATGTTTATTCTCTGCTCAGTTAATAGATAAAGGGACAGAAAAGAAGTGTGTAAGATATTTTTTAAACTATGAAAGAAAATGAAGTGCATATTAATTGTAAATCGAATATAAAATATATCCATGATATTGACAAATTCACAATACTGCACGGCTTTACATTGCCAGAGAGCTAATACTCTAGGAGATTTCTATCATTCTTGGACACCAGGAAAGCAAAATTTGGGGAATTTTCTTGGGCATACAGGTTCTATCTAGCTCAATGTGAAGAGATTTTCTTGATGATGAACAGAGTTACATGTGGTTGGAGGTCATCACCCAGACCACATGTATGCATGTTTGTCAACCTACATACTTCAGACAATTCATGCTTTATGTTGCGGAATAATTGTGTTTTATCTACATATAATGCCAGAGAGAAGATGTATTATTTAATATTGCTATTAAGAAGAATAACTATTATACCTATTTCCTTGTCCATACTCACAATAATTTCTTCCTAGTTAATAGCAAGCATGACAATTTGACAATTTGAATCACTAGATTCTGAAACCTATCTCAAAGAATAAAACCCTTCATGTAAACTGTTATATGTTGTTCATTGATGTCAGTTTATTTATTCTCTAGGAAAAAGTCTCCTTTGTAGAAAGCAAACCAGTGAAGTCTATGAAGAATTTTACCTCAAACTTCCCAGGAAGCTGACTCCCTAAGGGCTAGCTTTCTTAGTACTGGACGGTGTTACACACTGTGTATCAATGGGGCAAAGATATCAGTGGGCTTACTTAGCGCTGGGCATTGCATGCTATAATACCAACCTGCTGGGCACGTTATGCTCACTGGTGCAACAGTGGCATGACTAGTATGGGAGGAGCCAGCTGCTTTCTGATTGGTTTTGAGGCCTATTCCACACAATGGATTCCACATTTGGTACTGTGAACACCAGCATATCTGGGGATATCATAGGCCACAGAGGGAACCTACTGATTTTCCTTTATTAAATGGTTATGTTGTCAAGCTGCCTTCTAAATATTCATGGTTATGCCCATAGCTTAGTGCTGACTTCACTCTTGGTCAGAGAGGATTTTTGTAGTTGGTCATAGATAATGCAGAGGCTCATAACTGGTGAAGATATTGAGATAAATGGTCGTGAGTGCTCAGTCGTAGATAAGTTACCTCTGTCAACTTCTTCCTACCTAGGACACTTAGGGGACATATTGTAAAAGGGAGAAGAAAGAATATAAGAGCTACAGGATAAGGAGAAAGAGAAATGCTATCATCTAGATATGACACAGTTGTTGAGTTTTTTAAAATCAACTTAGAGCAGCTGTGGTTGCCTGTATGAGAACTACACAAGAAAAAGACAGTCAGAATTCTCAAGTTGGGAGAAGAGCTCCCAAGATTTCACCCATAGCTGAGGAACTATTGACAGTTGGTGGCCTCTGAGGGAGTAAGAGTCACTTTTCTTTGGGGATGTGACATCTGGCAGATTGCCCATACCTCACGTGATTTCTTCACATGATTGGTACGAATTGGTCTCAGGGTGATTAATAAAATAATAATACAATAAGAATAATAATTGATGACATGAAGTTGGGAGGGAGATGGGTTGAGTGGGGCATTATAGGAGGAGTCAGAGGGAGGTAATGGAGGGTAAATATGATTAAATTACACTGTATGAAATCATTTGTATAATTGCATGTATAAAATTGCATTATGAAATTCAAAGTATAAGAAAATATCACTAGACAAAAGGAAATAAAACAATGTTAGGTGTCTGTCCTCATCTACTTTGCGACAGAGTCTCTTTTTGTTGTTTGTAATTGCATATGTCAGGCTGGCCAGCCTGGGTGTATCTGGGAATTCTATTGCCTCTACTCCCATCTTGTTGTGAATCACTAAAATTCCAGATGTCTGCTAGTGTGCACAGCATTGATTTGGATTCTGGGAATCCGAACTCAAGTACTTTGGCTTGCATAGACAGTGAGCCATAACCCTGGCCCTTGCGTCTTATAGTTTGAAGTTTAGGTTTGTTAAGTCTTAAGAAATAGTGGCCTTTATCATCATGAATACTTGAGTATTCGTGTATGACAATAGTACTATTTCTGTACTTTCTTTGTCTGAGATGACATTAACCACTTCACCTTTCTTTGGATTCATGTGATGTTTGTCATACTTCACATACTGCTGTCCCTTCCCCCCCCCCCCATGGCTTCCTGGTAGATAGCCAGTCACGCAGAGGCCATGCTGATTCCTCACTGGCTTTGTTTTACTTTTTAAAGTTTTTATTTAGTCTTTGGAAATTTAATACTTTTATTGATAATGGAAACTTTCCAGAGTCTTCTGACTTACCATGTGATTTGAAGGCCTCATCTGCAATGCTATTGAAAAACTTCCTGATAGGCTAAACTGGAAGCAAACACCACATTTGTTAATACCCAGTCACTATGTAAAAATATAAGCTTCAAGATAATTCTAGAATTCTGCAACATGAGGGATAGCAGCTTGGTTCCTTAGTGGGGACTACTAAGAAAACAACTCAAGAAATAATTCAAGATTTATATTTATGGAGATGAAAGCTTTGAAGTTCCTATTCACTAATGTTATGGTTGTGATATAAATGGGATTCAGGGGCATCTTGAAATGGCTGTAGCATTTATTTAGCTTGTATAGTTAGTTTGACTCAAACAGATTTTTGTCTTCCATATTTGTAACTTGTGTCTATTATTTTTAGTCTTTTAAAAAATTCTTCATTTTACCTACCAACCACAGTTTCCCAGCCCTCCCCTCTTCTTGCTCCCCATTCCAACTCACCCCTATCCACTCCTCAGAGAGAGTAAGTTCTCCCATGGAGAGTCAACCAAGCCTTGGCATATCAAGTTGAGCCAGGACCAAGCCCTCCCCCCCTTCCTGCATCAAGGCTGAGCAAGGTATCCCATCAGAGGGAATGGAGTCAAAAAAGCCAGCTCATGCACCAGGGGCCCTTCAAACAGATCAAGCTACACAGTTGTTGGCCACATGCAGAGGGCCCAGTTCAGTCTAATGCAGATTTCCCAGCATTCGGTCTAGAGTCTGTGAGTTTTCATGAGCTCAGATCAGCTGTCACTCTGGATTTGTGCTTTTTATCATGGCTTTAAATGTATCAAATAGCCCTCTTTCTATTCAGACTCTTGTCAATAAGTAATATTATAGCTAAGAAACTAGTTTTTTTAATAATGTATCATGTTTCTTTAACAATGTAGAATATGATTATGAAAAATATTTTCATAGTAAATAAAGATTTAAAAAAAATGTAGGCAGTGTAATAACCAGGCTAGCTTAAGATGAAACAGCAAATTTTAATGAAGGGATATCTTACAACACCAGCGATCCAGCGATGAGCAGGAAATACAAACAAGGGCGGTGGGGCTCATGCTCACCAGATTTATATGTAAACATTAGCAGGAGGCGAACATTCCCCCTAATGGGATGGGCTTATCCCTACAAAACATATTGCTATTGTTCTTTTTCAGATAGACGTGGGGATGGTTTTCTAGGGAACAGGGATTGTGTATCCTCTAGGACACATTATTTGGATCAGAATCCATGACAACTAAGGAATACATTATTAGTAGTTACTATAGCAATGATGTTACTCACAAGCAAAGAGGCCCAAAGTGAGTATCCTGAAGTTCCAATGATAGGAGTATATTCACTGTCCATTACAAATGCCATATTTTGAGAAAAATACAGGTATGTCCAAAAGTATCCCAGGCTCTGCACTATCAGGCTGGTCATTAATTGTACAGTCTGAAAGGAAAAGACACCATTCTTAGAGTTCCAGCTATCTCTTAGAAAGGAACTTTCCTCAAGACCAATGCCAGAATGAAGCAGGAAGGTTGTGTTCAACCACGACAGTGACAGCTTTCAGAACTTACGAAGAGGACACACATTGTGATACGATGTTCTGTGTATAGTTCTAGGCCATGTTGTCATGTTTTATCAACAGTAATCAAGTCACAGACCTATTCTGTCAGCACAGAGACACCTCAAGTTCTACCCTTCCTGTAACTTTCCCACTGATGCTTGTTACTCCTGGTGATCACTCATCTGGTTCTCATAGCTTTTCAAATATTCATCTAATTTCTCAAAAAGTTGGGAGTCTATTAAATATTGTTCCTATTTTCACTTCATCTCTGTTCATTATTCTTCTGAGAAACTTTCCATTGAGTTCTTTCATGAAAAAACCAACTGACCAACCATGGTGATTCACACCGGCAATGGCTTGGTTTGCTGAGGAAGCAGGGATTGTAGTTTGAGGCCCCCTATGCTGCATAGATACCTTCCAAAAACACAAATAAACAATTCCTATTCCCCAAATCAGTTGGCTGTCTCTGTGGAGTCTAGTTTTGGACTTTGTGTTCTGTTCTGTTTGTCTCAGTTTTTCTTGTTTAAAAAAACATAATCTTGATGACTATAGGCAGACAGTATCTTAAAAATCAACTAGTGTTGATTTTTCATACTTTGATTTAGTTGTTTTTGTTTCTTCTCCTTCCACATAATCTTTGACTACCTACCTATAGGACTTGCTAGGATTTTATTAGGAATTTTGCCAAGCCCATACACCAGTTTAGGAAGAACTAACAGTTTTACTCTGTTGAGCTTTGTATTTTTATTGATGTAACCTAATTTGAACTTTTCATTAGCATTTAGTCATTTTAAAATCATAAGTTCTATATATGGTTTCTTTAATGTTTGTATTTTTTCTTTGGGGATTGGTATCTTCATGTTCATTATTATTGTATAGAAACACAATTCATCTTGTATCTTGTGCCTTTGTTTAATTTATTTCTAGATCCCCTGTGCCTACATGTGTGTGTGTTTTGTTTTTTTTTGGACTTTTCTCATCTAATTTTTAATGTTTTGTGTATAACTCTTAATCTGGCTCTGTCATTCAGTAGTATGAGTGAATGATGCCAAATTGCTCAGCCAAAGTATGTAGTGGATGGGACTGCCTGGGCAAACAGTAGGGTGTCTGTGAGATGGTGTGGACAGCACAGCACCTTTGTAACCAACCACTGTTCATAGAGCTGTGGCATCTGCAGCTTCCTCTGGGTGTACTGACAATTTGCTCATCTCATCTAGGACATGCCATCAGTTTATGATTGCAATAATTGATAGATGGTTAAAAAGAAGAATATTTTTTCTCCATGTCCAGAATCAGTCTACACCTTGGTGTCATGTCACGTGCAGAAACCATTGTAAATGATTTGCCTCCATTTGAAGAGTTCATGGTGGATACAGAGGTGGTTCAAGTCTCCTGTGTTGAGGAGGGCAACCTTCTCACAGTTGACATGCTCACTGGAGCAGCATTTTGTTCTTACCCCCAACAATCTCAGTTCCTTCTTTATCCATAGAGGATTCTGTAGCATATTCTTGAAGAGGGTATGAGGATTTCTCCTGTGAAAAATGCGGACAAAAATCAATATAAATTAAATCAGTTAGTGACTATGATATTTCTCTTGGGTAAGGTTCCTAAGCCTGAGGGGGAATCTAATTCCACAGCTGCCATTCACTTTTTCAAAGATACTTGATTGTTCCCTAACAGACGCTTTTGCACCAGATTAGTAGGATCTTGACAAAACTAATATTCCTCTCTCAAGAAGTTAGACTGTGGATAAGTACCAAATAATAGCTGCTCCAATCCCATCAGTCCCTCTAGCACCCACTCAGATGCCCTTGCTGCAGCATCAGAAAGTCCAGGCTCCTGGCAGCTTTGATTTAGCCTATTACTCTTTATTGGTGTCATGGAAGTTCAAGTGTGTCTCAGGGGTACCTGACTGGAGGATCTGGGTCACACACTTACACTAGCTGCAGAGAAGGCTGGGAAATAGAATACTGTAGAGAGTAGGTAGGTTTCTTAAGATAGTGAACGCGACAATGGAGGGGGTTCGGTAGGCCAGATAAGGGTAACTCATCATCGCCAACACTGATAGAGAGGGCAAAGGTTCCTATTTTGTAGGAGTCACGACCCTGCTCAGCTTCTGTATTTAACCCATGAAAAGTAGTCGTTTGATTCTAGCTGGTCTGAAAAAGGTGCATATCTAAGCCACTTAGTGGGGGCACAGGGGAAATTTTCCTTGAGGATCTGGCAGAGTTTGATTGAGAAGATATTAAAAGCTAGAAGCCATGGTACTATTAGGTTTTACCCGCTGGAAGTCTGAATGCCTATACATTGTATAAATACTCATATATTCCTCAATCGAATAAGCGATATTTTTTTTTCAGCCAATAGATTGATACATTTTTGGTGTGGCTTTCTATTTAGAGGTGGCTTTGACTTTTTTCTTCCCCACCCTTACTCCCTACCCCTTCCCCGTCTCTAATGTCTGACCAATCTTTCCCCCCTTTTTTTTTTTCAACTGCTGTGCACAGTCATATCTAGAATTCAGCATTGCTTTCAGATCTTGTATTTGCACGTTTTCTTCTCCTCATATAAGCCACAAAGTCTGGAGGTTTCATTTGCCATAGTAATGGCATTTGACAGGAAGGAAGAAAATACAGAAAGGCATATCAAAAAGCATTTTAGAAGATGTTTGAGTTAAAAACTTACCTGTTACGAGGTGACGACTTTTAAAAAATGTAACAAACTTCGTCAAAGGCTCTCTCTGCAGCAAGAGTCCCCTGTAGGGTATACTGGGGAGGAAAAGGAAGCTGGTATGGAACTAAAACTCACCGGAAAGTCGAGTCCAAAGCTAGTCATTAACATGCTCTGTTGATGGGTCATGGATTCCCTACTCTGTATGATCCTAAGGGTAGAAGGGGGCAATCCTTCCGGGGTTTCCTTTAGGTCTAGATCTTCCTGCTCTGGGATTTCTGTGGGCAGCACCTGCCTCTGGGGCGCTGCCACCTCCATGTGTCCCTCATTACCTCTTGTGGATCCAACGTTGCAGCGGTTGTGTCCCAGAGCAACCGTGAAGGGCGCCACGTGAGGAGGGCCACGCAGACACTAGTTATGCAGGCCCGCGGAGGTTCCACCCAGCCTTCAGGCCCGCAGGTACAGATGTGGTTAGCCAATGGGGCCTGCTGGCGAGAGTCTAGTGCAGACACCTATTACTCACCCGTGGTGAACACACTCTACCCATTAAACTGAAGAATGTTTGAGCCCAACTACAAGTTGGTTCCGTGCTCCAAAGACGTTCCCACCAAGCAAATGACTTCCACTGTTTTCTAGTAGATTGATAGAAGCAAGTCCTTCTATTTTGAGTCTCCTCAAAGTCTAGATTCTTGACTCTAGAAGGAAGAGTGCTATTGGAACCACAGATCTGGTGGTGCTTGGGCCAATATATCTTCTCTGGTCCTTTGTCTTTCTGCAAAGTCGAGGTCCCAATTGTTCTGTGTACTTCCCATGTTCAGAAACTAGATTGCACCAATCTGTCACCCACCCTGGGACAGGAAACTCTAACTAAACTCAATGAGCAACACCTAAAAAGAAGAGCATGTTGAGAAGAGATCCAGAGGGAGATGAGAGGTAGGGTGTGTGTGTGTGTATGAAAAACGACTAAAATCCATCATATAAACATATAAAACTATCAGCCAAACAAAAATTAACTACGAAAAAAGGCGACTGTTGTAATTGAGTCCTAAATAATACGTTTTAGAGAATCCTAACTTGATAGTCATGTTTATGATGCCAAGGATCATTTATGCTATGGATTCCCAATCACTGAACATTTAGTGTAATGGTGCTATAACCGGCACTCAGTAGAAGTGAATAAACAAATGAAGGTCATTTGTCCCGCTTACTTGGATTATGTTGAGTCTCAAAAGCAAATGTGGTTTGCCTGCCTGCTAACTAAAGGAGTGTTTTTCACAGACAATTTGTTGAGGCTTCCAGTATCAGGTGTTTTGTATATTATGTAATTCGTGGAATAAAGTCCCGTTGAGAGTAAATGTGAATGACACTATTTATGCATTGGGAGTAAGAAGTCGAGACAATATAGAATATCCGTTCCCTCTGGAGTTTACCTTGTGGGGCGGTTGGGATGAGAGATGATCCTGCCTCCTGAGTGCTGGGATTAATCCTACTGAGAGATGATCCATTTTAATATTAGGAGGCCAGACAAATAGAACCCAGCTGAGGAGTTAAGGACTTGACAGAAAAAGGTCCCAGCAGATGCTCTATTGAACATTAGGAAAAGTATGAAATGATGCCTAAATCTTCTGAGGGTTGTACATTGGGCTGCTAGATTTTGCAATATGGAGTTGACTGTTGTCATTGCAAAATCTGGCCTCAGAGGACAGATGGGGGCCTAGAGTGGAGTCAAGGAAAAACAAGAGGTGATAATTGGGAGATATACTGACTTCTGGACCTCTGCTTTTAAGGACAGAAAGGCAATAGTGTTTTGAGTAGAAACTAACAATGAGTAGGTGCTAGTCCTGACTGCCTGTGAAGGGATGGAAACCGAAAGCCAGTTGAGATAACAATGGGCCGCAAGACTTCCGACTGTGACCTCTGGAATATACCTTTAGTCAGCACAGACCCTCATGTGGTCTCACCTTTCTCATGAGACACTTCATCCTCTTGGTCCATCACTGAATTTGCCTGGGGAACTCCTGTGCTAAAAGCCTGCTCATTTTGTGGAACCAGGAGATCTTGGGTATGCAAATGGAGAGTACAGTTTCTGTGAATTCTTTTTTTTTCAATTTTTTTTATTTTTTTTCCATTCAAAAATTTACATTCCTCCCCTCCTCACATTCCCCTCCTGCTCCTCCACTTACCCTCCTTCCTCCCCTCCCCCCTTAAGAGAGGGCAGGGAACCCTGCCCTGTGGGAAGTCCAAGGCCTTCCCTGCTACATCCAGGCTTAGGAAGCTTTGCATCCTAATAGACTAGGGTCCCAAAAATCCAGTACATGCAGTAGGAACAAGTCCCAGTGCCTTTGTCAATGTCTTCTCAGACAGCCCCCATTGTCAGCCACATTCAGAGAGTCTAGTTTGATCACATGCTCATTCAGTCCCAGTCCAGCTGGATTTGATGAGCTCCCATTAGAACAGGCACGCTGTCTCAGTAGGTGGACCAACCCCTCTCAGTCCATACTTCCTTACTCATATTCTCCCTCCTTCTGCTCTTCAACTGGACCTTGAGAGCTCAGTCCTTTGCCCTGATGAGGGTCTCTGTCTCTATCTCCATCCTTCACCAAATGAAGATTCTATGGTGATATTCGAGATAATCATCAGTGTGATAATGGGGCAAGGACAGTTCAGGCACCCTTTTCCCTGCTGCCCAAGGACCTAGCTGGGGACAACCCTGTGGACACGTGAGATCCCCTCTAGAGCCAAGTCTCTTGCCAATACAAAAATGGCTCCCTTAATGTAGATATCTTCTTCCCTGCTCCTATATCCACCTTTCCTCCATCTCCACCCTCCCACTCCCCCAAGCTCTCTTCAGTCTTTCCTTTCTTCCTTCTCTTTCCTCCTCTCCCCTTCCCCCATTCCCATCCCTACCCCACCCCCATGTTCCCAACTTTTTCCTGGCAATCTTGTTTGCTTCCAATTTCCAGGAGGATCTATATATGTTTTTCTTTGTGTTCATCTTGTTATTTGGCTTCTCTATGCTTGTGAACTATAGGCTTAATGTCCTTTGTTTATGGCTAGAGTCCACTAATGAGTGAGTACATACCATATTCATCATTTTGGGTCTGGGTTATCTCACTCAGGATAGTGTTTTCTATTTCAATCCATTTGCATGCAAAATTCAAAATGTCATTTTTTTTATCGCTGAGTAGTACTCTAATGCATATATATTCCACACTTTCTTTATCCATTCTCCATTGAGGGTCATCTAGGTTGTTTCCAGGTTCTGGCTACTACAAATAATGCTGCTATGAACATAATTGAACAAATGCTTTTGTAGTATGATTGGGCATCTCTTGGGTATATTCCCAAGAGTGGTATGGCTGGATCCTGAGGTAGATTGATTCTCAATTTCCTGAGAAGCTGCCACACTAATTTCCAAAGTGGTTGCACAAGTTTGCATTCCCACCAGCAATGGATGAGTGTTCCCCTTACTCCACATCCTCTCCAGCATAGGCTATCATTGGTGTTTTAGATTTTAGCCATTCTGATAGGTGTAAGTTGGTATCTCAAAGTTGTTTTGATTTGCATTTCCCTGACTACTAAGGAGGTTGAACATGACCTTAAGTGTCTTTTGGTCATTTAAACTTTGTCTGATGAGAATTCTTTGTTCAGTTCAGTACCCCATTTTTAAATTGGATTACTTAGACTTTTCATGTCCAGTTTGAGTTCTTTATATATTTTGGAGATCAGACCTTTGTCTGATGCAGAGTTGGTGAGGATCTTCTCCCATTCAGTAGGATGCCTTTTTTTTCTTAATGACAATGTCCTTTGCTTTACAGAAGCTTCTCAGTTTCAGTAGGTCCCATTTATTCACGGTTGCTCTTGTTGTCTGTGCTACTGGGGTTATATGTAGGAAGTGGTCTCCTGTGCTCATGTATTGCAGTCTACTTCCCACTTTCTCTTCTATCAGGTTCAATGTGGTTGGATTTATATTGAGGTTATGAATCCATTTGGACTTGAGTTTTGTGCATGGCGATAGATATGGATCTATTTTCATTCTTCTACAGGTTAATATCCAGTTCTGCCAGCACCATTTGTTGAAGATGCTTTCTTTCTTTCATTGTATGCTTTTAGCTCATTTGTCGAAAATCAGGTGTTCATAGGTTTGTGGGTTAATATCCAGGTCTTTGATTCGATTCCATTGGTTGATATCTCTGTTTTTATGCCAATATAAAGTTGTTTTCATTACTATAGCTTTGTAATAGAGTTTGAAGTCAGGGATGGTAATGCCTCTGCAAGTTCCTTTATTATATAGGATTGTTTTGGCTATTCTGTTTTTTTTTTTCATACAAAGTTGATTGTTGTTCTCTCAAGGTCTGTGAAGAATTTTGTTGGGATTTTGATGGGGATTGCATTGAATTTATAGATTGCCTTTGGTAGAATTGTTATTTTTACTATGTTGATCCTGCCCATCCAAGAGCATGGGAGATCCTTCCATTTTCTGGTGTCCTCTTCAATTTCCTTCTTCAAAGCCTTAAAGTTCTTGTCAAATAGATCTTTCACTTCCTTGATTAGAATTACCCCAAGATACTTTATGCTATTTGTGGCTATTGTGAAAGATGAAGTTTCTCTGATTTCCCTCTCTGCTTCTCTATCCTTTGTGTATAGGAGGGCTACTGATTTTTTTGGTTGATCTTGTGTCCTGCCACATCACTGAAGGTATTTATCATCTGTAGGAGTTCTTCGGTAGAGTTTTTGGGGTCACTGATGTACACCCTATCGTATCATCTGCAAACAATGAAAGTTTGACTTCTTCATTTCTGATTTGAATCCCCTTGATCTCCTCATGTTGTCTTATTGCTATTTCTAGAATTTGTAGCACTATGTTGAAGAGATATGGTGAGAGTGGACAGCCATGTCTTGTTCCTGATTTTAGAGGAATGGCTTTGAGTTTCTTTCCATTTAATTTGATATTAGCTGTTGGTTTGCTGTATATTGCTTTTATTATATTTAGGTATGATCCTTGTATCCCCAACCTTTATGACCTTTATCATAAAGGGGTGTTGAATTTTGTCAAATGCTTTTTCAGCATCTAATAAAATGATCATATGGTTTTTTCTTTCAGTTTATTTATATGATGGATTTACATTGATAGATTTTCATATGTTGAACCAGCCCTGCATCTCTGGGATAAAGCCCACTTGATCGTAATGGATAATTTTTTGATGTGTTCTTTGATTCAGTTTGCCAGTATTTTATTGAGAATTTTTGCATCGATGGTCATGAATGAGATTGGCCTGTAATTCTCTTTTTTGGTTAAGTTTTTGTGAGGTTTTGGT